CTTCAAAGATTTTCATTCTCGCCGTCTTGTACTTTTGCTTTCGAAAACCCCCCTGGCTCCACAACGTTGCCCTATTCGTGCTCCCACGGAATCTATTAGAGTAGATTTGGGACATAGCCATGGTTAATATAGTACATAAGAACACGTACAGATCTCTCCCTTTTATTGATAGCAACTCACCGGAACAGCTGGACGATCCAGAACTCCGTGGCCGATATATATAAATGATCTAAAGGTATCTACGCGCGACACACGTTCAGAACTTTGGCGCGGCGTCAATTCTTGACCGGTATCCAAGCGTGCGAAGGCACAAAGATGCATCACTCGGCGTGCGGAAGCTTTGATCACGCCGCGACACCGGCGACACGTTTTCGACGAGTTGTACCTTTTGATACGGCTTCACGCACATTGCACTCGCTAAACACATTCACACGGCGTCGGTTCTTGGTCGGTATCCAAGCGCGCGAAGGCACAGAGACACGGCACTTCGGCGTGCCAAGGATGCTTTGAACACGCCGCCAGCCCTTCCTTTCGACGCGTTGTGCCTTTTTCCTGCGACACTGCACTTTCGTAAACTTTTCCACGTGTTCACAACGGCAAGTCTCAACAATACACAGGGTCTTCAAAAAACTTCTTCGGCGAATGACGACGAACGAGTAGAAAACGTGTCGTCAGCACGCTGGAAAACCGCAGCAAAGGCTAGCAAAAACGGCAAATCGTATCCCAAGCGTGTGAGGCCCGGTGGCTTCACTTGCGGGAGCGGCAAGCGCGATCCAGCAATTGTCATTGAGATCAGTGGGACAAACCAACCTCGTTGGGACAAACATAAATCTCCAACCACAGCTGTACACTAAAAAAAGCTCATGCGTCTATTTTCCCGCCCAACACTCGGAGAGCCAATCACCGCAACTTACGGGCAGCTCAGGAAATGACGATGCCAAAACATACGTTTAAACAAAAAAAACAACAAAAAACGCAGTTTGGGTTGTGACATTAAGCAATGCAAAACGTCACGCTTGCATTGCTTAATGTCACAACTCAGACTGCGTTTTTTGGTCTAAACATATGTTTCGGCATCTTCATTCGCTGAGCTGCCTCCGCAAGTTGCGGTGAGTGGCTCTTCGAGTGTTGTGCGGGAAAGTAGACGCACGTCCTTTTCTTAGAGTGTAGGTGACTGGTGCGCGACCGAAAAAATCCGCCTGGTCCGGGAATCGAACCAGGGACCTAAAAAGTCAAATTTGGGGGTTTTACGTGCCAAACCTACGACGGGCATCTGGCACGCCCCAGCGGAGGACTGAGGATTAATTTCAACCACCTGAGGATCTTTTGACGTGCAACCGAAAGCTCGGTTACCACGGCGCCTTCTCATGCAATAAGCCCCCGTCATATTGCGGGCACCTCGGTCGGGATTCGAACCCGCCACCTGGGGATCCGTAGGCCGGCGCTTTCGCCTCGGAGCCACCGAGGCGGCTTCGAACCAGGGACCTCTCCATTTCCAGTGGAGCGCTCTACCAACTGGAGCTAACCAGGAGTAAGACGGCAATAGAGAGAACGGATTTTTTCAGCTGCCACCAGTCTAACACCTACAAAAGTTAACGGCCTGCATTTTAAGGTTATGATGATAATGGTATTAATTAGAAGGGGCAAGCGAGCTGGACAAGAATGACAAAAATAATCCCTGCAGAAGGGCAACAAGGCGGACATTCTTGTCCAGCTCGCTTGCACTGTTTTCAAAAAAAAAAAAAAATATTTCTCAGTTCTGCAAATGAGTTTATCCCTCAAGAAACTTCACCTCTGACTTCTCCCCTCCTTGATTCAAAGTAAAAAATTAGGCGAATACTGAATAAAATAAACTTCTATAATGCGAGGCTGTACGAATAAACGACGATAATACATTAATTCATTTTAAAGCGTTTTCCAGAGAATTCAAATGACAAATTGAGTCATCAAAACTTAAAATTTATAACGACGACCTGAAGAAAGCACTAACTGAAAACCCTAAAAAGTTTTCGCCAATCATCAATCCTAAACCTAAGAGTGACAAGCTGCCCATCGCCGACTTAGAAGATAATTATTATCTCCCGCCGTGGTTGTTTCTGATTTTGGCGCGTTCTTCGGAGACATCTTTACGCGCGAAACCTCTGCCGTACCAAGCTTAGTCTTGCCCACCTTCGAACGTACAACGTCCATGCAAGAGTGCAAGATGTTTACCTCCCAATTGATGGTACTGTGAATGTCATTGATCGCCTCCCTTCAAATTCTTCACCGGGTTCTGACAGAAGAAACCCCAGACTTAATTAAACCTGACTTCGGGTATATCTGCTAGATTTTTACGGTTAATTTTTGAACAATCGTCCTAGCCGTTTCTTAAATGTCGTCTGATTGGCTACATGGGAACGTAAATCCGATTTTCAAATCCGAGAGCCCGAATGAGCTTTCTAATTAGAGGCTTATCTCACTGACTAGTGTTTCATGCATAACCCTAGAGCGCGTTGTATTCAGCAATTTAATGTTGCATTTAGATAATAATAACCTATTGTTCCCTAATCAACATAGTTTTCGTACGAACCTCTCTTGTGTTGCCCAACTATTCAAACTTACCCGTAATCTTCATACTAACATGCAATCTTCAAAACAAACTGATGCGATCTTAATAGATTTCTCAGAGGCTTTCGACCGGGGTCCTCATAACAGATTAATATCTCAATTTTTTCACCTAAACGTGAATAGCAATCTTGTCTCCTGGATTCAATCTTTCATGTCCAATCGTACCAATCCGTTATCTTCGACACTACCACTCCCTTTCCCCTTAATGTCCCCTCCGGTATACCTCAAAGTTGTGCCCTTGGCCCTCTTCTTTTCCTAATCTATATAAACTGTATTGCCATTTCATTATCCTTCACCGTATAATTATATGCTGACAACCTTGTGCTCTACCGCAATTTTTTTTTACCCATTGATGATTGCTTAATGTTACAAAAGGATATTGAAAAATTAACAACATGGTGTGATTCCTGCCTTATAATGATTAAACTAAACAAAATTGAAGATAATGTCGTTCTGATGATCAAAGGAACAAAGTATGTTTTCCGTACGCTATTTCTTCTTGCGACTTACAGCGGGAGATAGCTTTTAAATATATAGTAGTGTACTACTCCGAGGGTCTATCTTGGAAAAAACACATTGACTACGTCTGCTCCAAAACTAACAAAACATTCGTTGTTTGTTTTTTTGTTTTTTTTTAAGGCATTTTTATCCCGCTGGCATCCCTATTTGATGTTTAGCTTACACTAAACTAATACTGACGAAGTTAGAATATGCATTTACCGTATGGAACCCCCTCAAATCTATTAAGTTAACCAATAAGAAGCTTTTCAAAATCGCGCCACTCGTTTTATCACTCGTAATTACTCGCGGAGTGGCGTTTCTCTCTTAGAACAGTCTATATAATTACAAACCCTAGCCATTAGATTAATAATTGACCCAGTTTCTTTCATGCACAGATTATATTACAATCCATGGTCACCCCGGACCTTCACTCCTTCGGATCATCACATTTCTTCTCGCCTCGATCATTCCTGTAAAGTTGAACTTATATTTTCCAGACCTAACGCATTCAAAGACGCGCCCCTTGCATAATGCATCTCCGGTTGGAACAGACTCCACTCAAGCTTGGTGTCAAATAATAACTGTACTCAGTTCTTGCAAGAAATATTTTTTTTAAATAATGTTCATATAATTATGTTATGACTTTCCCAATTTTATTACAAAAACGTGCGAATGATTATCCCCCTTACCTCCTTTATGTCATGCTTTTTTGAGGCCCTTCAAGTAATAAAAAAATAGAAAAAAAAATTTGCGGGAGTTGCCTTTCAACTATTTCTTAAAAGTCTCCGGAGAAGATCGGCGCGAAGTCTAAGTTCGGGGTCTCTTAGTGAAAGCGAAAATGATAACCGGAATAGTAATCATTCTGAAAATGCCCTTCGCGGGGTCATATACGGCCAAAACACCCAGGATAAGAAAGCCATATTATTTGATTTTTTTACGTCACCTATTGGAGGCCAGCGGGGTGCACACGTTGGACCCGAGTGCAACATCAGTCTCCGGCTGGGACTCGGGTCCTCACTGATTGGGCTCGAGCCCCAGCCGATCACTGACGCAACAGTCGAGTCCAATCTGTGCCCCGTGCCGCGCTGGCCTCCGCTAGCTGACGTCACGAATCAAGCAGTGCGGCCTCCTTATCGAGGAGGAGGTGTTGCTACGGCGCGATCAAACTCCGCGCGCAGAAGAATGCTTCGTGTCTGGGAGAACTCGCGCAAAGAGTGTTACACTCCATCGAACCCGGACTGCTCGTTCCTCCCAGAGCAAAAAAAGAACTTCCGGGTCGGTGTATGTCCGAAATGTTAACCGAAGAGCAAAGCCACACCTATGCAGACGTGCTTGCCGCGCGCTTGCGCTCAAACTGACAATCTAGCCCGCAGTCACACCGTTCGCACGTCGTACAAAGGACGCGGCGTTTGCTTAGGACATGGCGACAGGGTGCAGACAGCAAGTTCGTCTGCTTCTTTCGCAAGGGTTGTGGAGGCGTCAGAACGCCGAGCTCTCATTGGCTTTGATTGAAGGATAGTGGGTAGACCCCAAAGCAAGCTGCCTCGAGGTCTACCCCCTATCCTTCAATCACAGCCAATCAGAGCTCGACGGTGTTCTGACTTCACCACAACCCTTGCAAAAGAAGCAGACGAACTTGCTCTCCGAATAGACATCTTTCCAAAGTCACGCGTTCATTGTTAAAAGGTCTGAAACACCGCACAATGGCGGAACAATTAAGCGACACCACAGAATGTGAGATTCTAAAACTACATAAGCTAAAAACGAGTGTCAGTAAAATTCCTAAGGTTCCAACGTCGGCAGTGTCTTTTGTGTCCGCCATTGTGCAGAGATTCCACAGCTTCCAACAGAGGGCACGCTGTCGGAAGGGGTATTTTGTCTACGAACGCGCGTCGAGTATGATCGAAGCATGCTTGTTTCACGTATTTGCATGCTCTGAACACGTCCGCAGCCAGTTTTCGTACGACCAAAATGTGACAGGGCCATCGGGTGAGTAAGAAGCGCGCCTCAAACGGCATCTGCAGAGTTTCCTTTGTAAGATGTATCAGCAGCGTCCCCGCGGCTACCAGGCTAAGCTTGCACTCACGCTGTCGTGCGAGGCGACACTTGACCTTCTTGTCGCTGTCCAGCTTCACCGTGGACGTACCAGCGGACCACACGTGGGGCGTGAGGCGACCCAACGGCACGTGGAGTGGGATGATGGGCATGCTAGAGACCAACGTGAGTATATATGCGCCGCTACATTGGCGTTCTAGAAGGAAGTACTTAAGTTTTTGCGCTCGTTACGTCGAGGGAGCCTTCATGTAGACAAACAACATTTTTAGTTTGACATATGATCTCCCGTTATTAACTAAACCTTTCATGAGCGTATGTACGAAACTGCACCCCGAATTTCGCCAGTGTTAATGGCTGACATCCGCAGCTGCTCCGTGACGTCACAAAACGCAAAGGTTTGTCGGATGGTCGGGATAACAAGCGTTGCTTGATGGATGTCTTGTATATTGTTTCGAATTATATAGTGTCCTAGGCCAGTCGTTCTCAAATGGGGGTCCGCGAAAGCCTTCTAGGGATCCGCGAAGCCCTGCCTCATCAGTCAAGCCCGGCAATAAAAAATAGTATTTTTTTTTTTTCAGGTTGAAAATAAATGCTTTAATTTTCGGGCGAGTTCTTTCGTCTGAACGTCAATAAGAGAGGTCTACTTCACATGAGCCCTTAGTTATATCCATTTATTAAATCGTTATTATATTTAACCTACACCTTTCTTCTCCTCTCACCACGAACGGGGTCCTTCATCATCTCCGCCGAACCAAAAGGGGACCGCGAAACATCGATGGTTGAGAATCACCGTCCTAGGCTGTACCCTACTGAAATACGGTTCTTTTATTGCAGTTCCCAAGCGTGTGCAAAAAAAGTCACGCCTTTTAGCAGGATATTACTCGAAAACAGCCATAAGCATCGAGCAAACGTATGCCGTTTCGCGCAAACACAACTGCGACGGCCACCGATCGAACAAGGAGCGCTTGCAGAGCAAAGGATGCAGATTTAGCCTCTGAAGCGGCAACTGGGTACACGAAGCGGTATCTAGGTACACATATCGGCGGATCCAATGGATCGGTGATGAGGCTGCGGGTCTTTCCCTCAGAGGCGATGACCGCGGGTCGAAGGCAATCGCCGAATCGTTCAAATGCGTCACTTGACTTGGACGAGCTTGGTGAATTGTAGCCACGCTCTATTTACACCTGCGGGTCAAACATACTTTGGATGCACGGGTGCTAAATACAACTTCTGGTATCATTTCCAGGTGGTCTGGCTGTTGGTTTCGGTTTCGCTGCATAAAAAAATTGATTGATCCGATTTGGACGAGGAGTGGATGGACGTAGTTTGATATCGTTGGCACAGCATCACACCTCAGCTTACGAACTTTCTCTCCGCTTAGAGCTCAGTTTGTAGCTCTCTTCTGTGAGATGATTGCTGCATAAGCGGGATCTCGATCTTGACGGGAACCCAGTCCGTACGCACAGCGACGATCCATTTTGCTCGTCCCTGCACGTCTCGCAGAAAAGTGTGGACCGCCATGTCTTGGGCTTGCATGTGCTGCCCGGTGGTTTTGACACCCAACCGCGCAACAAAAATCTCACCCAACCACGAAACAAGTCGAGCACAACAACAAAAACGAAGCACGCTGAGGCGTTCACTCGCAGGTAAACGACGAGACAGAAATGCTCGCCTGCTCGCTTTGTGTTGTGTGACGTAAGAGCTCCCATGTTGCCACCGAAAACAGCGTTTACGCTAGAGTGCGATTGGAGCAGTATTAATTCAATTACTCGTGCAGAGGAGCATATAAAATTCAGATATTGCACGTACGATGCGTCTCGAGGCAATAACAATGATGTTCAATTGTTTTCTCGAATACAAAATTTGACCGGACAATCCCTTTAACGCATTACTCGCATTGTTGTTGGAACGCGCGAGACGCGTATCACGAGTGAGTGCTCCGCCGCTATCCGCTTCCAAGGGCCGCTCATTCAAGCCCCCTTAATGTTTAATGATGGAGGGGCTTTACCGCTCATTTCAGTACAACGCCGCCTTTTGATGCCAAAGACCGCACGAGAAGAGGGAACGCGTAACGGTAACACGGCCCTAACACCGCCTAGGCGGGGGGCCCTAGAGTGCCTCAATGTTGCTTGCCGGCTGCGCAACATTGAGGCACTCTAGGGGGCCCGCTCAGGCAGCGCCAAAACTGCCGCTGCGGGAAAATCCATAAACACAAACGCGCCCCGCTTTTTTTTTTTTTTTTCTTTCTTTTTTTTTTTTTTTTTTTGCCGTTGAAAGGTGGGCATTTTTGTGTTCCGAGTGCTCGGCGATTAACGTGCCCACCGCTCTGACCTCGCCCGGGCGTGGACCACGGTGTAAGATAATACTCTTCAGGTGAGGACAGCGCGCTCCTCGCGACGTGCCCGATAAAGTTCGCTCCTCTCACTATGGTTTCAAGCGGCGCCGGCAGGTGACTCGTCGACCCGTGGGCACGTACAACATGACGGCTCCTGCCGCCTCATGTACCACACGCGCAGAGCTCCAGCGAGGTTGTCGCACGTGCAGAAAGACCACGGTGTACCGGTGTAGTCATGGCAACGAGATAATTTTTTTCGCTTGCACCCAGTTTCGCCGTTTGGCCGCCGGCGACACTGTCGTCCGCGGGCACGCTGGCAGCGGAATGATGCAGCCTTTCGGATGCCCGCCGAACGAACACTATCTGAGTTCTCGCGCCGCGCGTTCAGCCCCGCCGTGTCCTCACCTAAAAAGTGTATCTTACACCGTAGCGTGGACTCTGATCTCAAAGGAAATGGAAACATCCAAACGCAGACCTGTTTCACGGAGAGGCCGCAGGAAGCCACGTGGCGCTGGCCGAGGGGACATCTTAAAGTAACTGTATATGATCCGCCTGGAGAGCGGAGTACCGCAATGGTGCTTTCAGGGCGGCCATGTTGGATCCAAGGCCGCAATGCCGGAAGCGACCGTCGCTTCTGCATGTGCCCCGGATGAATAATTGAGTCTATGGCACGAGGCATCCGCTTCGTGCAGTGGCGCTTTTTTCGCTACCCGCAAACACAAACACGTCAAGGGGTTTTAGACGTAGAGTTACTACAATAGACGCTAAACGTTCAGATGGCGCTAGTGTGCTGTTGCATTTTGAAGAAGAGAGCAACCAGTCTAAATTTGACTCCCGGTAATGCATCCCTATGGGAAAGCGCCCATGTGTTCTCTCTTCGCGCTCGATTATAAGAGCAAATATTGCTTAGTGCTGTGACAGAATAAAAAGTTTGGAACATTTTACAATTGGATGTACAAAAATATGTTTCAAAGCGTTTTTACAGAGGAGCTGTTAAGGCCACGGTCCCACTGAATGTGGCAGTTTAGGTACTTTTCGGCAGGCCATTACTCATCTCCTTTTAAATACTGTTTTTTGGGATTGATGTCATTTGAAAGGCAATGCAATCCTCTTTCATTTGATATTATGTATGTGTTGGTTTTTACTGTTCATGCGCATTTGTAGCGTTGCGAATATGATGGCGCGGACCCTCACTTGCTCCGCTAGTTCATGTTTTATGAACGATCCATTAAAGATAGCACGGTTCCAATATAGCAGTTTTGTTAAGATGATGTCGGAGCAGAATCTAACGATCCACTTTTTTGATATTTGCACTACTTTGTTTTTTTCATCCCTCCAAATATTGCCCTAAAACTGACATTTTTCCGCACAAATATGTTTTTAATGACAAGAGCTAGGGCAATGAAATTAGCTACAGATGTAGTGCTTATAATTGGTAATATGCAGAAAAAAATTTAATGTTGTGTAAATTTTTTTTTTGTTTAGATATTTTATATCAAACGTAGCACTTTTTTATGCTTCGTGTCATGGTAGTTCAAATGCCGCTGAAGAAATAATTAAACTATGATAAAATCTTTTATAACATTTAGAGCTACAATGGTTGCCCAAGAGGTGGACGATGGCTTTTTTTCATTTTCAAAGTCATAACGCTCCAGGAGCCCTTCAAACTTACCTGTTTTTGACGCATATCTGTTTTGGACATCAAACAGATTTATTGGCATTTAATAACATTTATAGTTTGGAATAGATATACATTGCGATGTATTAAATTTTCACAATGATATTGCTTTGGTTTCTTAATAGGTGTAGAGCTTAGCTAATTTTAAAAACAATTAAAAACTGTTTGGGTGTTTTGTTGCGCTACCTGGCGGATGGCAGACAAACTGCTGATTTCTAATGTTCAAAAAATTTCCGAGGGCGGCGTTGGCGTCTGTATCATCATCAATCTCCGTGTCTTTTTACCCTCACATTTAAAAAATATATTGGAAGATTTACTATCGATAACTGAATGGTTTAAGTACTGGGTCAGGCTAATAAATCTAAGACCAATATTTACACAAGCGTAGCGTGATATAATGTGTTCATTATTCGATATGATTGAAATCAATAAACAATGAAGACGAAGAGGAAAAGAATACACCCGAGTTCACTTTATGTCTAGAGTCACTAAATGAGCTTTAAAGTATCGGCACTCCGTTCCCCAAAATTGTTTTGGGCGCCGCCATTTTGGGTCTTGCTCAGAGCAAACGCAACTGCCGATCATCGTGATCTAAAAGTATGACTTCCTCAGCATTAGATGTGGTGCTAGGAAGCTGATGCAATATTGCAATGCTCTGTCGCGGGTTGTTTAAACATTTGTGAGGGAGGGAAAAGCGTTTCCTGTGATTTTAGATAAAGCTTCATATAACTGGCAACCATGATTTTAAGCCACAATATGGCCAAGTGTCGTTACTCTGAACCGTAGCTAATTTACTGGCACAAGCGGGCACAATGAAGAAGAGGCAGGTGTCAAAAGGTAGTGGCTTGTGGAATCCACGGGGCTTACGATATGGCCCCTCCAGGTATTACTGGGTGGAGCACTTCATGTGCCCTTTGCTTAGGGTGGGGCACGACATCTGGCCATTTTGTCCCCCTCTTTTATTTTTATTTTTTGTTCAGAAGCGCGTGAAAGAGCGTGTCCCTGCACGCGCTCGTGGCGCTGATTGTGCTATGGCGACATTTTGTTTTCGTCGATTTCTTTGTATTTTCCCCGTGAGCGCGTGCTGTCGGCATCGGGTACTACAGAGGGTGGCATCACCCTAAACAGAAGGACATTGAGGCACCCTAGGTATTACAAGCCTCTTGAACAAGAGCATGAATAGTGTTATTAAATAAGCTACGCTTCAGAGTAGCCACGCTTGGCCTTAGTATGGCTTAAAATTATGGTTGCCAGTTATTTGAAGCTTTATCTGAAATCACAAGAAACGCTTTTCCGTCCCCCACTTTAAACAGTTTGCGACAAAGCAAAGCAACATTACATGAGCTTCCTAACACCGAATCTAATGCTGACGATGTCGCACTTTTGAATCATGACGATCGGCAGTTGCGCCTGCTCTGCACGGGCACCAAAATGGCGGCGTTCACAACACTGTCGGGGAAGAGAGTGCCGATACTCTAAGCGCAGCTCATTTATTGGCTCTAGTTGCCGCGAAACTCCTTTTCCCTAACTGAAACTGAAAGTAAATATGAATAATACACCATTATTATAGCTTATTTAGTTATAACCAAATACACATAATGAGAGGAGGAAGCGGGCGGGTAGGAGAAACGCGGGTGTTATACGCGACCGTTCTAACCGTCTCAAAAGAGAGAACGCGCGAGCTTGCGCTGGTTTAGAAAAAAAGGCATCCAAAGAAAAGAGGCGGCACACTGTGTTCTTTGTTATTATGCGTCTAATTGCAAATTGTTGTGTGTATGTTTATTCAGCCGGAAGTTAGTCTGCCTTAGTGGGCGTCTGGTGTCTCAGCTGTAGATGAGCAATTTAGCCAGTGTGGTAAAACCGAAAACCTGGGGTCTTCAACGTGCGCCACGCAGTAGTGATGCACGACCGCACGCCGGTACGATGCTCTTCCAGATCGAAACGGGCAGGGGCGGGGTGGGTTCTGCAGCGCGAGCTTTCGCTCCCAGTGCTCCGAGCTGGTGTGCGCTAGACCGTGCACTCGGCAGCCAACCCCCCCTTGTGCGTCTAATTTATATACAGGTATAAGTATTTGAAGATCGACAATGGACGTCGATCGTCTCGAGGTAATGTAAAGTAATAACATTATATAAATTATAAACTGGTTGAGGGACTGAACGACTTAATTTTTCAATTCTTGGATTGTAATGTGGCGGTAGCCTATTGTACTTACTGCTGATGAAGAGCAATATGAGGTGACGAGGTAATGATTAAATGATGAGGCCCTATAAGGACGACGACATTAATGGGTGTTGAACCACAACGTACAGTGCCGGACTTGTTTCAAGTATCGTGTACCCAAAGACTTTCTTCACCCGTAACAGTATATGGTAGAATCAATGAGGATGTTGCTTTACAACTGTACGTAGAACAGGAAAACTGCACTGTGCAGAAGCGCGGCTTATTCGTTAATATGAGGGACGGATTTCTAGCAGCATTCCCTGATTGACTACTTGGAACAAATGGCCTCGTTGACGTTAAGTGTCCCCGTTCCAAAAGATTCTTGAAGCATAGTTAAACCGCAAAGGAGTATGAGGCGAAAAATAAGAAAAAGGAGTCTGGTGTGAAAGGTCCAGATCACCACCGTAGCTTCTACTATCAAATACAAGAGCAGTTACACAATACACAAAGAAAGGTTTGTGATTTAGTTATATTTACACTTAAGGGCATTGATATCCAACCTATTCAGAGATATGACACCTCCTGGTCAACCAACATAGAGCCTTTTCTACTCAAGTTTTACATGGAAGGCCAGACTTCCGCTGAAATTCCTCACGTAGGCGAGTTGTCCGACCGAATAAAGATAGAGAGATACCCGATGTGGGTATCTCTCTATCTTTGTTCGTAAGCGATAGCATCATGAGATCGAGGGGTGTGGCTAATCTTCCGCCGAATATTGCTACGGCGGGTGTTTTTCCGTGTAAGATGAGACCGACGCGTGCTGCCGGAACAAGAACCTGGCGATTCTTCACTCAACTGCTTCTTCCGTAAGCTTCAAAAGGGATTTTTTTTTCGTTTCGCACACCATCTGTTCTGCTTGCCCGTTAGTTGCAGGATGGTATGGTGCACTAATGCGATGCCTGATGCCGTTTTTTTATTTTCTTCAAAAACTTGTTTATTTTATTTGAAGCAAGATTTGGCGCGTTATCAGAGAAAATTATTTTCGGTAGGGCAAAAGTAGGTAAAAGAGACCGTAGAACGTCAATGACGTGTTTGGACGTCGTGGCAGACATCGTGTAAACTTCCAGCTACTTAGAGTACGCATCGTACATGACTCCGCAGATGTGGATACGTTTCGCCACCCACCGACTGAATAGTGGATCGTTTTCAGTTACTGTTCGAGTCTTTCCACAAAGTTAGCCCAGGTGCCAGGACTTTTGTCGAAAGCGGTAAGTGTTCGAAACGTCGACAATGTCGGTAGCCACGTGTTGTGCTTGAAACTGGACACTTACCAATCGCTGAGAAGAAACTTGCTTGTTCGTCTGCCATGAGTCGTCCGATATCCGGTCATCACCGCAACACCATCTCCCGACAAAACTGGTCTTCATTGTCCGCATGTCCATGGTTAGCAATCACGTGAACTTATAAATTCCCGAACGCTCATAACTTGCCGTCGCTAAACGCCGTTCATTCATAGCGTCTTCATTGCAAATAAACGTCTTCCTATTTCTTCTGATGGTTTCCCTAAGCTGTACTTACAACATAATGTGTGTCGGTACTTCCGAAAATATTGCAACGGCGTTTGTTTTCCGGGAACTATAATGTAACAACCTTTACAACATCTTCCGGACCCCGTGAAACACAATATTACGTGACGTTATTTTAGTCGTCATTAAAATGGTGAGGTAAGTACCGTAAATCGCGAAGCAGTTTACTCGACGTCCGCTTCCACTGGTTGAGTCAACTGAGCGTGCATTCGTGCAGAGGAAATTTTCATTGATAGAATATTGACACGTCAATCAACATTTGATTCCTTCTTGGTAAGATTTATTGCGAAAGCACGTTACAACCGCCGACCGCATCTCCCTATATCAGACAACAATTTATACCCAGCCTGACATTCTCGCATACATCCGTTTGCTGGGCCACGCTACTTGAGCTAGCTGAGCACAGCAGGCAGCGGCGCGAGCAAGGCCACGAGGGGAACGTGATGGTGCTCGAGCCATCCCACTGTGAACCAATGTTTCGGCCACCCCACGGGTGCGTGTCGCCATCTATTGGTTGAACTAACGCCTTGTTCAAGATGGCTGCCGTGGGACCGCAGCCTTAAGGGCTAGTTTCCCCAGGATCATGTCCGTCCTCAAATGACCTGATGACACAGAACTCTGGACAGCTACCGCCATCTAAGAGCGGCGGCAACCAGACATCCGGCTTGCCGGTTGTGTGGTATGCCGCCGTCGCTCATAGATGGCGCAACCTTTCGAGCCTTTCCACTCTGGCTTGCCGACTTGCGGCCGGCCATTACTTATTTCCCATCATGGTACAGTTTCGCTGGTCATCTTTCTTCACCAGAGTGAAAAGGCTGAAAGTGTTTCTTTAGCATTCATGGAGTCGAACACTGCGCTAAGATTGCCCAATACACATGTATAATACGTGTTGACGTTGCACACTGCTATTATAGGACACGTATTTATGCATCTAGTCAATGCTGTGAAGCGCACAGAGTGAATAAGCTTGACAAAACATCAAAAGGATGCTAATATGTGCCAAATCAAACAATCAGAACAGACGACAAGAACGAAGCACGGAGTTATTGAACGAAAAACGCGTACTGGATTAGTAACAAACTGCCTTTCCGTCATCTGAATGCTATTACAGCTTGAATAAATCCTACGCATTTTTTAATTGTTCTTTATGCTTAAATTGATAGCTTGTATTGACATATCATGCTGTACAACATAAACCTGGGCCTCCATTTTTACTAAACATGGCTCAGTAATAAAACAACAACCATTAACTAAATTAATTACACTTTAATAAAGTGAATAAAGCTACATAGTACCCGTTATGAGTAAAGAAACTACACTGATTTATATTGCTATTTCTTGGCGGAAAGAAAATTTCCACCTGCGTTTTCTCATAGGAATACACTGGAAAAGTAGACTGTTTGCTGTCTGCTTCTATTTGCAACGGGAAGTCCCGTAGACGCTAGCGCCAGCTGAGCCTCTAGCGTTTATAGTAATAACTTTAAGGTTTTAGACGATCGAATACACTGGCGCCCTACTATGGGACAGGTCCGGCACATTCCCGTTCCGCGTATACATTTACTCATTTCTTGCGCATCTTTTTCTCACCGTGGGCTTGGAATAATTCTGACAATGTTATAAGCTCATTTCTCGTAGGCAGTGCGTAGATTTGATCTCGCGAATGCTGCAAAATCGTGCCTATAGTTATGTACAGATTGTGAGGGTTCCAGGGCTCCCTGGGTGATGGCGCCAGCTTGCGAGTGTGTTCTCTCGCCGTAAGTGATGGCGAAGGGTTGCAACACAGTCGATCCCACCCAAACGCAAAAAGGTGAAGCCGCCTTTAATTCGCTCAGGTCTGGTTGATGTATTTAGAAAAGTTGTAGCCGGTGCGCTGCGTGCTAGACTGTACATCCCATTCATCTGCTTCGCTCAGTCTCAAGCAAACAGGTTTTTTTTTCTTTTTTCTTTTTAGGAATCCGATCTGGCATTAAGCTGCTTCCTGCCGACGTTCGAGAGACTCGAGGTGGCGCTACCGACGGTTCTCATCGTTTCTGAGGAGATGAGCATCCTGGGAGGTCGACTCTCCGTGCAGAGTTCCAACATATTCGGCTACATCATGACCTTCGACTGGCAGGTGAAGCGACGGAACAAAAAACGGCCACCATACGCATTCATAACAAGAAGTACCGCGTCGTAGTGTTCATGGGCATTCTCCTCTACAAGAGACCTAATTTACGCATTCTTTATTTTAAGCGAGTGATTGTCATTCATTCCATACACTCACTCACTGACGGCTTAAGAAATGCAATGCGTGACTACTTACCGCCTTCCAATTGGTCCTTGGGCGTTCATGACTGATTCCGCACTCTGATTGGCTGCGGGGTCATAATGCGATGCACGCCCCGCCCTGCCTTCCTCGAGCGGTCACCATGGCCATCTGAACGATGGACACTTAGGCCGCGCGCTCCCAAATGGACCGAGGGGGCTTTGCCCTAAAAGCCGACCCGTTGCCTGTCCATGTTCCGGTTGCGCACATCCAAAGCCCAGGGGCCAATCAGAGCTCTGAGCTCTGATTGGAAGGATTAGTGGGTAGACGCCAATGCCAGCCGTCGTTAAACTCAGTCACCTTCCGACGAGAGCGGACAAGAGTGTCGTATGCTCCTCACGCAGGGTATGGTGTTGGGACGTCGAACGCCGGTGTTGATCTGTACACTTGCGAATACAGTGATCATCGTGAAATGTAAAATGACGTGTAAACCTCAGTCAAATTTGTTGAATTCTCTATTCTTATGATTCTACACACCACTATGTTATTTAGCTATAATGCTGAAACGGCGACTGTGGACGTGTCAAGCTGCCCAGGGAAGCCTATATATTCTCTCACAGCCCCTCTGTCTATGTCGTCACAGGATGGAAATTGATATGATTTGATTTGGTGTCTCGACGCAGGTTTGGACGGCCTTTTTGATGGCACTCCTCCTGTTGTCCGGTTTGTCTACCGTCGTGGACATCATCAGACCAACCCCCGCTGGCAAAACCAAGTTGTCCCTGCTCAGTCTTTGGAATGAACAGTTCTGGAAGTACTTTGAGAACATGCTCACGGAAGGTACTCTGCACGTTCTAAATTTTGCCGGGCCATCAGCAAGGTTTACTTTTGTAGTTTCACACCGAATTCGCCGCAACGTACAACGAAACGCTGTAGATGGATTAATGACGCTTCAACCAGTGTTGCCAATTTAGCTATTTTGTAGCTAGATGTTTAGCTATATACTTTTCGAGACAAATAGTTACAAAATATTTCTCCTGGCTATAAATAGCTAAATTAGGTCCTTAAAAAAAAAAAAAGAGAAATTTGCTCCAAATTCGGCTATTTTCGCGTATTCTAGCTTTTATCTGGTGAATTTCTTGCAGTTGCTATAGTTAGGCATTAAAAAGTGTGACCCATAATGAACCGAGTAGACCGCACGTAAAGTATGTTCAGCTTAAAACATTGAGAGTGTTGGCCGCGAAAGGCGCGAGGAGGCGACAGCATTGAAGAGAGGAGGCCTAAAAACATGAAGACGGATGCATTACTGGACGCTAAAAACATCAAGAAGAATGCAACCGACGGCCGGAGGCCTATCAAGTGACGAGACGGCGGTTCTCCAGGCGGCAAATCAAAATGTGTGTGATGTCACGAACAACGGCCGATGGAAATCAAAGGGGTGTGTGCGTGCGTGTGCGCGTGTGTGCGTGCGTGCATGCGTGCGTGCGTGCGTGCGTGTGTGTGTGTGTTTGTGTGTGTGTGAGTGCGTGTGTGTGTGTGTGTGGAAAAGGGGGGGGGGGGGGGGGGGGGTCAAGGGGGTTAAGTATTGCGCCGGCCGCAGTGTGAAAGGGGAAAAACACGCAGCACTATGCAGGCCAAGGTAGGGATAGGGGAAACTCCCCTATTGTCCCGACCTTGGAGTATATTGAGTGGAGCTAATCCTTGAGGAGTAAAATCGAACAAAACTCCTCCCGTTCCCGTCCGGTCGTTGCGTGCCCCCAAAAGTGTGAAGATATCCAACTCTGAATTCGATCAAGGCAAGCCGGAATACGTCACCACACGGAAAAAGCAAAAATGTACGGGTTCCGCTCAGACTTAAAATGTAATCCGTTACTAGTAACGAATTACTTGTAAGTTACTTTTTCAAGTAATTTTGTAATTTCCGCGTTACTTTTCTGTGGCAGTAATTCGTAATGTAGGTGATATCGTTACAAGATATTGATAACGGATTACTTTAATTACTCGTTGCTTTTTAAAAGTATGAACATTATACAGAAACTGTAGCAATATGAGTGTCCGACCACCCGCTCGATGAAGCTGAGAAGCGAGAGCCCAGGGATTTTTCAGCACTGCACGCAACTGTAGTCCGTCAGTGAACAAAAGGTTAGGGTGTAAAAGAGCTGGTGGTGGTTAAACATTTGACTAAAAACCCCCGAGACTAAGACAAGAAGGGGCGGACAAACACAAAGTCTCAATATGTTGAGACTTTGTGTTTGTACGTCCCTTCTCGTCCCAGTCTCGGGGTTTTTCGAGAAATATAGTCCGTTCACGCGTAAGCTGCGGCTCACACTTGAAATTCCCGTTTCAAAAGGGAGCTTTCGTCAATCGGTTCCTTACCTCCAAATTTCGCAGCGGAAGTAGACGCTGCTACTGAGCATGCGCACCGCTAGCTTTGAGCGCAGAATTGCAGGTATCATTTCCGGCTGCCGTACGCTTGCGAGATGGCGTGTGTGGTTGCAGCTAAAGCCACTAAATAAGCTGCGCTTAGAGTATATCGGCACTCCGTTCCCCGACATTGTTGTGGGCGCCGCCATTTTGGCTCGTATGCAGAACAGACGCAACGGCCGATCGTCATGATTCAAAAGTGCGACTTCCTCAGCATTAGATTCGGTGTTAGGAAGGTCATGTAATGTTGCTTTGCTCTGTCGCGAACGGTTTAAACATTTGTGGAGGGCGGAAAAGCATTTCCTGTGATTTCAGATAAAGCTTCAGATAACTGGCAACCATGATTTTAAGACAGATTATGGCCAAGTATCGTTACTCTGAAGTGTAGCTTATTGAGTGGCACTAGTTGTAGCTTTCGGTACCTTCTCAGCTAACAGGTGAACAGAGTGCAGCTACGTTCTTTCTCTTAAATACAATATTTTATTTTTAAAAGGACTACCATAATGGCGGGCGTATGAGAAATGAAAAGTAGTGGTGGAGAACACTTTTGAAAACATCAAAATTGTTTCTATTGTTTTCATGATAAGTGTACGGGAAAAGTAACGCCAAAGTAATTTGTAACATAACGGTTATCCGTTACTGTTCAGCGAAAGTAATTTGTAAAGGTAATCCACTGGATTTAAGGCTCGGTAGTTTGTACTTGTAATCCATTACATTTTTTCAAGTAACGGGCACAACTCTGGTTCCACCTTCCGAAGAACGAATGTTGGGCTGGTTTGTACCAAACTTTACAAATGCATCCCCGCCGATTCTACCAGACGCATGCATTTCATGCTAATTGAAGTAGTTTGTACTTTCGTTCATCAAAACCCCTGATGCTTGACCTAATCGAATCTAAACCGTAAACCTTTCCTCTTTTTTTTTTCTGTCTTTTACTTAGTGTTTTTTTTTTTTTTTTTTCATCACTGTCGAACAACTTTCGACTTTCCATATTCCAGGTTTTAAAACACAGCTTGTTCGCGTAACCGAAGCCTCGAGCTCAAAGCAGAGTAGAACAGAACGAGATTCACATTTAGATTACGTGTGTACGACTGAACAATTTACGCAATACGTCTGTGACTCGTTTCGCTCCCAAAACTTAAAAACGAGAAGGGACCGGAAACAGCGTCTCAGATTTGTAAAGCCGCGGACTCGCACTGCCAATACATCAAACGAACGACAGGCTGTTCTCTACAGACACAATGAAGGAATCACCTATGGAAATGCATCCAGCATTTTCATATAGGCTTCGAACATGTCCGACAGACTAGAGAATTTTAGGGAACCGCTTTCGCACTTCCGATACGATACCGTGGACCCTCCGGTACGAACTGCGCATGCGCAACCACAGAACACTCGCACGTGCGCAATGTGTAACCGGAGGGCACGTCGCACCGTATCGGACGGGGCAAGAACGGTTCCCTAAAACTTTCCCTTGTGTGAGCATTTCGAAAGGACCGTCATAAAGAGAAGCAGAAACGCCTGGGACAGTGACTGCAGACAGTCTTTTGTATATGCGATGCATAAGCACCGCAAGCTGTGTGTGTGTGTGTGTGTGTGTGTATTGTTCCGCGCAGCGTCTGCAGAATCCCCCGGGGACACTCCCTCGCGCATCTTGTCCGCCGTCTGGTGGATGGCGGTGATCGTCCTGATGAACGCCTTCACCGGACACATGCGGGCCTGTATGATGATCAAGTCCCAGACGGACACCATCGACTCCCTGGCCGAGCTGGTGACCAGGACACAGGTCAAGCCCTACGTTTGGGGAGGCACCGCCTATGTCTTCATGCTAAGGGTCAGCTATTTTGCAGATAGTGTGTACCGCATCGGATGTCCTCGGCCAACGCGCATGTGGAGGCTTAGACAAAGGGTCGCTATCCGTTGTCTAAGCCTCTACGCAAGAGATTAGAGCGTCCCTTGGCGGGCAATAGCTGCAGAAATGACTAAGGTAGTAAACGCGAAGGCAAAAAGACAAGATAGGTGAAATAGCACCAAAAAAGGCTGGCGAAAACACGAAATTTATCATGAGCCCGCGGCACACCTTCACGAAAAACGCGGTAAACGAAATTCTTTGACTCTCTACCAAGACATTTTTTTTAATGTCTTGACGCATGACGACAGTCAAGCGCGGTTCATGAATGTACACGAGAACTCCGTGAACACTCGACTACGGCTTGTAACAATCAATTCCTTTGCAGACAACCTCTAACAATGCCTGGAGCTCAGCACGCGTTTTCTACTCAGCCGGCCACAACCGTGGCTATGATTAGCGTTGGAGGCATAGGATAGGCACCAGGTCACATGTAGCTTGTTCTGGCACAGAGTTGAAGGGATGAACGTTGCTTATATTCCTCGAATTTATTTTGGCGACTGCCATGACCTATAGGAAGAAAAACCAAAGCAATTTCATTCAGTTATTAACGTTAGGGAGTGATTCTAAGTAGTATTTAACAAAATTAGAAACATCGTTTCATTTCATTTAACCATGTCGACGATATATAAATAAGAGTAAGAATCAAGTCGTACGAACCCGCTACACTTCCACATAGACCCTATGCGGATGACCGTTCCCGTTTTGCATACCGCTGCTCTTCGTACAAGAACAGCGGCGTATAACCACACTCGGCCAGTATCCGACAGCAGCGAGTCTGTGCAGGACACGGGAACGCCCGAGTACCAGTCGATATGGAGAAGCGTCGAGCGTCATCAGTCCATGCTCCCTACCGAGAAGCTGTACAGCAGGGACGTCCTCAATGAAGTGATGGAGGGCAAGGCGGTCATCGTCAGCGATCGGAGTTCCCTCGTGTACAAGGTGCCTCATCGCCTCTGCCATCTAGAGGAGAAGAGAAGAGCGTGCTTGACGTCAAAGCGCCTAGCTCTGATTGGAAGGATTAGTGGCTAGGTGTAAAGGCTAGCTGCCTTTGTCTCCACCTGCTGTTTTAGAGCGCAGCTCTTAGGGGCCCGTTTCCGGCTTGAGCGGCGTCGCCGTCGGCGTCGGCGTCGCCGTCGCCGTCGCCGTCGCCGTCGGCGTAACCGCGCGGTGCATCATGGGAAATGTCCCATAATGCACCGCGCGAGCCCCCCACCAAGGTCACGTGACCTCGTGGGGGGTCACGTGACCCCCCGAAGTCACGTGGCCCCCTCCTCGAGGTCACGTGACCCCCGCCGATGTCGCGTGACCCCCCGATGACGTCATCGTCACTGATGACGTCACCGGCATCCACATCGTCATCGTCATCATCACTGATGACGTCACCGGCATCCACATCGTCATCGTCATCATCACTGATGACGTCACCGGCATCCACATCGTCATCGTCATCACTGATGACGTCACCGGCATCCGCATCGTCATCGTCATCATCACTGATGACGTCACCGGCATCCACATCGTCATCGTCATCATCACTGATGACGTCACCGGCATCCACATCGTCATCGTCATCATCACTGATGACGTCACCGGCATCCGCATCGTCATCGTCATCATCACTGATGACGTCACCGGCATCCGCATCGTCATCGTCATCATCACTGATGACGTCACCGGCATCCACATCGTCATCGTCATCATCACTGATGACGTCACCGGCATCCACATCGTCATCGTCATCATCACTGATGACGTCACCGGCATCCACATCGTCATCGTCATCATCACTGATGACGTCACGGACATCCGCATTGTCATCGTCATCATCACTGATGACGTCATCGGTGACGTCACTGATGTCGTCACCGGCATCCGCATCGTCATCGTCATCATCACTGATGACGTCATCAGCGACGTCACTGATGACGTCACCGACATTCGCATCGTCATCGTCATCATCACTGGTGAAGTCATCAGTGACGTCACTAATGACGTCATCGGTACCCGCATCGTCATCGTCACTGATGACGTCATCAGTGACGTCAGTGGTGACATCATCGGCATTGGGGGTCACGTGACCCCCAAGGTAACGTGACCCCCCCCTGGTTAGTTTAACCCCCCCCCCCCAGTGCCCTTCCCTCCTCCTCCTCAAGAGCTGCGCTCTAATTCGGCGTTACAGGGAGTTGTAAGCGGCTTTCATTTTTTTTCTTTCTCCAATCAGAGCGAACAACAGCGTCAGCCTCCTCACGGCTGGCGTTGGGCGTTCCAACGCCAGACCCTATACGCGAAAATGGGAGGAGGACGCTCTTGTCTGGTCTGCTTGTGTGTTAAGAACGCGGTGGAAGCTTGTAACGATTGCCTGGCTATAACACCGACACCGAAAGAGTTGGCGATTGTACAGTATGCTCGTTTCCCTCGATGAAAGCAAAATAAATGTTATGTTATTAAACACGTCATATTTAGCTTTTGATCAGCCGCGAAAGGCATAGCACATCGCCAATGGTATCATCACTCAATACGGTGAACTAATGAACCAAAGTCTTTGGAACAAAATAAACCAAAAGGGTGTTTCCTCAGTCTTCGAAGCTTATAGCTTGATGTAGGGTGAGGCATGTCAATCGGAGCCTTCCTTGGAGAGGAACTACTGAGAGCAGGCTGCGCAAACGTTACACTGATTTTGACAGGCTGACTATAGACAAATGCAGATAGAAGAGATTAATGCACAGCGCTGTAACAGTTGCTTCCCTGAAATGCAGATGGAAGAGTGTTTGATTTTAATTTGAACGGAAATTTTTATGGCTTGTCTGGCGAAGGCAACCGATTTCTGGTCATGCCCCACCAGGTGTCCCTCGTGTGCAAGGACTTCCAAGAGGGCGAGTTCTACGTGAGCCGGGAGGCAGTGACCCAGCATCCGTTCGTATGGTTCTACAACAAGCTGCTTGCCAAAGACCTGCGAGACGCCATCGATCATAAGTGAGGACTTCTTGCTGAGCTCCCTGCGTTTTCAGACACTCGCAATCGGTAAAGCCACTATTATGTACCTAAGATTACGTCGCTAAGAGAACACGTAATTATGGTGTGTTTATGAATAACCAGTCATAATTAAGTTAGTCAGCTGCATTGGGCGTCTGGTGTCTTCGCTGTAGATGGAGAATTTTATCCGTGGATTCCAACGCTTATAAGAAATCGCAGTCGACAATTTCAAAATCACAACCCGGCGAGCGAGCGCTCTGACACTTTGACCATCGGCAGACAAACAAAATGTGTGTGGAACCTACAAAACGTTAAAGACGACAAGGACCACTTTTTAGGTCTCCATGCGCGGACTGTCAGCACGTGCGGCACGTACGCGAAGATGCCTTCGGCAAGCCGCAATCACGCGTGCTTTCTTCACTAGCCGAAATACAACAGCAGCCACAACGCCATGCTTTGCAGCGCAATGTGCGTTGGAAGCGATTCAGAGGATGAAGCTCACCGCTTCGGTAAGCGAGGAAAGCACGCGCCAAACGTAGAAAACAAACGAGCTGCTGCCTGCACATTGTAAAGAAACGTTGGAAACAATGTCCGTCTGCTCTAGAGATGGAACCTGATAAAGTACAATCTGAAATATATGCTTTTTTACGTCATCTGGTTGAAATTGCTGCACCCATACTCTATGACGGTACATCATTCATAATCTTATCATTCGCAAGCACACTTCCTCCTTTTGAAGAAGGTTGCTGATAAATGTACCTAACCTACCACAAAGTAACAATCTCACAGTTGGCAGGTTCCTATTGTCCTGACAAAATGAGAAGGCAGGGCCCCTCTTTCGAACGCCCGGACTCCAGCACGTGCTCGCTGCTCACAAGACGCCGAAGGACTGTTGGAGCATAGCCCCCTATATATACATACTGACAAAGCCTGGCAGATCACCACGAGAAGTGGCCGCCGAAATGGAAAAGGTGGAGCGGCAGACAACGTGTGAGAGGCCAGCCACGTGACTGGCGCCCCGCTGCGGCGAGACGCCAAAACACACTTCTCCCGAGCGAACAAGTGTGTTTCGGTTCCTCGCCGCTGCAAAAGCTGTGCGCCCCGAGAAATGCTCCGCGCTACCAGATTCCCGCGCTTCAAATCAGCGACCGGGCACTCTATGGCTCCGTCGTCGAACTGCCAGGCTTTGTGAGTTTAGAGGAAGCTATGATCGGGGGTAGGAAGCTCGCGCTGGAGGTGGGACAACTGTAGCTGCTCCCTGCTGCCGTTCTCACTTAACAGTGGCTATAGAAATTGTATGCTCAAGATTACAGCTACGCTTACCAAGAAATAAGAGTACATGTATTCGTACATCAACCACACAAAGAGTACCCAGTTAACGATACACAGTTTCCTGAATGTCGCGGTACATTACAACCCTGCACTGGACTCGCAGACTCTTGGCTTTGCACCTCAGCTACACAAAAAGTACCCAGTTACCGATTTCCATTATTTTGTACCCTGATATATTACACCCCTGTATCGCACCTCAGCTACACAAAAAAGTACTCAGTTACCGGTTTCCTGTTCTCTGGTCACGGTGTAAGATGTGTAGGTGTAGAAACCGCGCACGGCTCAACCGCCAGATAAAGTCCTCTCTTCGCCTTGGTTACAAGCGGTGCCACCAGATGACGCTTCGATAAGCGGCAAGTTGGTTGAGGCAAATGGACGGGGAGCAATGGGCACGAAAGGTTTTCAGCTATTTATACATGTGGAGTGTAGACACAAAGTGGAGACAGCGCACTAGGAAATTAAGAGGAAAGTTTTTGGGCTATTGCGAAGATACGGAAGAGCAAGTCTCAGTTAAGAAGAAAGTTAAGGCCACAGAAAGAGATTGGTGGCTAGAGGGAATGCAGACAAAGACGGCTCTGGAAAGCTATAGATTAAACAAAAGAGTTATTGCCAAAGAAAGCATTTATGACAATTCTAGGGGAAGCTCATTGCTGTTTGAGGCAAGAACGGGTGTTCTGCGAACCAGAACATACAGAGTGAAGTACCAGGAAATTGATACAGTGTGCACTGCTTGTGGAGAGGAGGACGAGACGGCTGAGCACTTGATACTCTACTGTAAAGGGCTTCACCCTATGCCTACCGAAGACAACATAGATTTAATAAAGTCATTGGGTTTTAGAGACAGCGAAGGGAGAGTGGATTTCAAGACTGTAGAGATTACCAAGCAAAGATTAAGGGAATGGTGGCAGAAATCGAGAGAAAACTAGGTATTTTCTTATCCACTGATGGCAAGGGGGTTTCATAGCCTCACTTTCTTTGCACTGCGGAGTGAATATAGATTTCACATTTAAATATTCTAAGCTTAAATGGTAAAACAAAATGGCTAGGTGGCGTAAGCTACCGCCCGATCCAAAGGGCTCAGCCGTATTCATCCATCCATCCATCCATCCATCCAGTTACCAAGCAAAGATTAAGTGAATGGTGGCAGAAAGCGAGAGAAAACTAGGTATTTTATTATTAACTGATGACAAGGGTTTTTTTATAGCCTACATTTCTCTGCAGTGCGGAGTGAATATAGATTTCACATTTAAATATTCTAAGCTTAAATGGTAAAACAAAATGGCTAGGTGGCGTAAGCTACCGCCCGATCCAAAGGGCTCAGCCGGATTCATTCATCCATCCAGTGGTAGCCCTATCGCGGACCTAGTTTCCCACGCCTCATGCTTGTTCCTATTTTCTTGGTGCGCCGCGACATGAAGAACTTTAGCACTTGGGCTACGGGTGATGCTTTGACACAGCTTTGTCTCACTGAAAGCTATTTTCTGTCTCGGCAACAACAGTTTTATGAACACGTTGACGCGAGAGATCTCTGGGGCGGTCATCAAGCCAGCGTCCGTCGATGTCAGAGCAAACGCGCCGAGCGGAAAGCGCGCCCGCCCAGGTGCCATGACAACGAGACACTTTTCAATGCGTTAGCATTAAAGGGATACTTCAACGAAATTTGAAATATTCCCGTCGTGTTCAAAAATAGGTTGAATATGATCCACAATATCCGTAAACGACATTCGCACGTTTGTATTTTGATCCTGGTGGCTGTATTTTTCGTTATAAACGGCCCACTCTGGCAAGCGCTCGGAGAAGGCCCAGCTTACAGCACGTGACATCCAACGCAATCGTGACGTAGGTCGTCTCAAGACGAGCAAAGCTACAGCGAGGCTGACGTCGAGAGGATGGCCTAGTCGTTCCAGCCACCGAAGCGGCTGCTTTTGTACGAATTTTGAGTGACGGGTTAATCTTCTATAATCTTCTAGGGGGACAATAGCGACTTCTGCGACACACAAAAGGGATTCTCGGGAAGAGGGGAGTTCCTCCTTCCTCCCTTCTCTCGTCGTGGCCGGAGACGAGACAACCTCCGTCACTAGCTGTCAAGGTTCCTAGACGAGCATTACAAACGAGGCGTTAGCGACATCCACCAGGTGCTCTTTGCTAATCGTTTAATTCGTTTTAAAATTCCTTTTCGACACTTTTTCAACAAGATATTGGTATGTTCCATGTGATACTGCTCTTTTGAACACATATAGACCAAAAAATGAGCGCCGAAATTTCGTTGTAGTATCCCTTTAATGCATACATGACAACGAAAAGCTGATGCCGTCCGTCTGCGGGCAAATAGTGGTAAAGGAAGCGCTCCGCTTAGAGAGGAGAAGAGTACTGGAAAGGACAAAGGCGAGAGGAAGGCGACGTCACGAGGCAGAAGCCAATGCGCGCGTGGGACGGCGAGGCGAGAGGGGGGTGACGTCACGAAGCGGAAGCCAATGCGCGCGCGCAAAACCGGTGAACAGCGAAAACAGCGTCAGGAAGCAGATGCCGCTGCTGCACGCAAGGCGGGCGAAGCAGACAGAAGAGCGGAAGCAGCACCTAGCTCGGCTGGCCCAAAATCCAGCGCAAGAAGCGACAAGCCGACGCCCGTTTTCTCGGTTGTGCCGCCGTGCCGGTGGAGACGCTGTCGTCACAAGCTACATAAGCGCGCGCCAATAGAACTTGCCTGATCGATCGCGTCGCAGCGTCCGCCGTGCTGCGTGTCCTCGCCAAAAGAGTCTTACACCGTGACATTGGTGCTTCACAACCCTGCTCTGAACTCGCAGACTCGAGGCTCTGGTCGAAGGCGGCTTCACCCAGAGGTGGTGGGACCAGGGAGTGGGCACCTGGAGGGAGTGCGGAGGCTCCAGCGGCAATCAGGAGGACGGTGATGACGTCACGACGTCCCACACCTCGCTCCAGTTCCAAGACCTGCGCGCTGTCTTCGTGCTGTGGCTGTGCTCAGCCTGCATCGCCACCGCCGTATTCGTCCTCGAAGGCTTGCTGGGCGTAGTTTCGCGGAAATCGGAGTGTTGCCGTGACGCCCGTAAACGGGGTAAATCGAAGAAGGGGCGCTTAGAATCGCTGGATTTCACGAAAGCACGCGTTTTCGAACCTCGTCAGCCGAAAAGAGATAACTAGGGAGTTGTGGCAAATCGTTCTGACAACTGCGATGATGATATCCGATACTACGCTGACGCCTTTGCGCATGCATCGTTATCGGAGGTATCAGAACCATCTACAAAAACTTCCTAATAAGTACGCGACACTTCTGAGTAGTGGCGAAAAAAAGTGAAAGCCGTTTACAACTCCCTGTAACGTCGAATCGGAGCGCAGCTCTTGAGGAGGAGGAGGGAAGGGTATTGAGGGGAGGGTAGACCCCTCCTCCTCCCCTCATTCTTTAATATGCTCCGGGGGGGTCATTTGACCTCGGGGGTCACGTGATCTTGGGGGAGGGGGTCACGTGACCTTGAGATGATCTTGAGGGGTCAAGTGACTTTGGGGTGACCCTAGGAGGGGTCACGTGACCTCGAGGAGTCACGTGACCTTGGGGTGTCACATGACCTGGAGGGGTCACGTGACCTTGGGGTGACCTTGGTAACGGCGACGCCGACGCCGACGCCGCTCAAGCCGGAAACGGGCGCCTAAGAGCTGCGCTCCAAAAAAAGGAACTTCGAAAACATAATGGTTGATAGCGAGTGAACACGATCTCACCATGGTCAGAGCGGAAGTACAGAGGTGTCTAAACGGCGCCTCCTCGCCATGAAACAACTGTAACGAAGTTTCGCTCGTATTTCTGACAAAGGCTGTGAGATGGCGCAGCATGTGTAGGGTTACAAACACAAAGTGGAGACAGCGCACTAGGAAATTAAGAGGAAGGCTTTTAGGCTATAGTGGAGATATGGAAGAGCATGTCTCAGTTAGGAAGAAAGTTAAGGCCACAGAAAGAGATCGGTGGCTAGACGGAATGCGGACAAAGACGGCTCTAAAAAGCTATAGATTAAACAAAACAGTTATTGCCAAAGAAAGCATTTATGACAATTCTAATGGAAGCTCATTGTTGTTTGAAGCGAGGGCGGGTGTTCTGCGAACCAGAACATACAGAGCGAAGTACCAGGAAATGAATACAGTGTGCACTGCTTGTGGAGAGGAGGACGAGAGGAGAGGAGAGGAGGAGGGTGTGTTTGTGGTTGGAAACGGCTGAGCACTCGATACTCTACCGTAAAGGGCTTCACCCTATGCCTACCGAAGGCAACATAGATTTAATAAAGTCATTGGGTTTTAGAGACAGCGAAGGGAGAGTGGATTTAAAGACTAGAGATTACCAAGCAAAGATTAAGTAAATGGTGGCAGAAAGCGAGAGAAAACTAGGTATTTTCTTATTAACTGATGGCAAGCGGGTTTTACAGCCTCATTTTCATTGCAGTGCGGAGTGAATATAGATTTCACATTTAAATATTCTAAGCTTAAATGGTAAAACAAAATGGCTAGGTGGCGTAAGCTACCGCCCGATCCAAAGGGCTCAGCCGGATTCATCCATCCATCCATCCAGAGAGTCGCTCGAGGAGTGTTCTTAACTCGTGCACCCGTTTACAAGGCCCGCATGCTAATGCCCCTGAATAAAAAAGGTAGCGACATCTTCTCTATCCTCCCCTGACGCGCACACCTTTTATCTTTATGTTTTGCTTTTTTACACCCGCGCATCGACTATAGTGCCGCCTGGATCGGACCAAGATAGCAGACGGCCTCCCTATACTTGAGTCAAAGCGCAGTCAAATTCTAAAAGTGCACTGTCACGGTCTACCAACCTTGAAGGATGTGCTCAAAGAATGACGATGAAAGCCGTGACGTTGCACAGTCGGCGTTATTTGATTGGCGACATGAGCTCATAGCATACCCTGCACTCAGACAGCCCCGTAGGCATTCCTTCTCCTTCTTCCTCTGACGCGCACACCTTTTATCTTCATTTTCTGCTTTTCTACACCCGCGCGTCGACTGTAACGCCGCCTGGATTGGCCCAAGATAGCAGGCGGCATTCGTTAAAGGATATCGCGACATTTCCGTATAGAGGGGCTTTACCCCATGCTACCCATGCGGCGCGCGGCGCTCGTGGTCTTGTACGCAGATTTTCAGTATACCATAAACCGATAGTGCCCCTACCGGGAGACGCGCGAAGCCCGAGCCATCTTTTGCCGCCTTGCCTGGCCTTGTTTAAACACCTCTCTATTCTTCCACCGCTGTCCTGGTGCACATTTACACGGGTACTACACAAGACCAGGATAAAACCATGTTATTGACGGAATTTGACTTTTTGTAGTGCTTACGTAGCAGGCAAAATATAGACGCTTTACACACGCGCCAAATTACAGCCGCCATTGCTGACCTTCTCTTGTCTTACCGACATGCCGAGCAACTGAAACGGTAGTTGACGATCCTCTACAAAGGCCGATGCTTTAGAAAAGGACACAGTTGAATCTAATATGGCAATAACCTGGCCTGCTATGGTAATGATGAAGTGAAATAAACGAAAAAAGAGGAAACAAAAACTGAAGGTCAGTTATGGCGGCGTCCATGCACAGCTGCTGCAAAGCGTCTATATGTTTGGAGCAGCCAGCGATGCTTTTGGAGCAGATGCTGACATCTGTTAGCACATCACCTGAAAATACAAAGAAAGTGATTGCATCGTTAAATGAGCTCCTCTTTGATGATGACTGAGGCTTTTTTTTCTGGTACTGTAGCGTATTACCTATTACCTTTTGTAATGGGAATAGATAACGGCGAAAAAGGAACACAGAACCTGCTTTTCTTTAGAAATAAGGCTCTCGTCAGACAAAGTCCCATTTACAATGGGTACTAAAAAAAAAAAAAGGCTGTAAAACTTGAGAGCGCGCAATGGAAAGTGTCGAGTACGTTATTCGCAACTATACAGCTACCTAAAGGGTCCCCATTTACAATAAAGAAGGCAGCATTAACGAGGTCGTGTCCTGACAAATACGTTAAACGCCGACAAATACGTTAAAAAAAATTGTGCGTCTCTTTTTTCGAAACTGTTGCTATAAATTATGAATATGATATCTCGCATATTCAAAATAAAATATCGTCTTAGCTTTTTTAACTGTATTAGATCCAGACTGTATTGGAACCACGAGTGAAGTCAAAGTTCGCTGCTCTTTCGAGCGACAGCTGCGCGTAAACTACCTTGCTGTATTTATTCAGAAAATAGACCCGCAGTTGTTATTTTCGTTATCTTCTTCACGGTTGGGTTTTCTTTACAAAAATTTATAATAAAGAACAAAGAAGGTAGACCTGCAATAGTACTGGGCATAATTTCCGATCCTATCGCGTTAACCCAGGGGCTCACCCATGTCTGTCGCTGCTCCTAGCACTTTGGTGCAAAGCGGTGAAGCTTGACGTACGCGCGCTGGTAAGAGGGGTCACGGAGGCACGCGGACGGGCAGACATGATAACCGAGTGATCTCATCTGGAGTACAAGACCCTGGTTCTGTCTCATCACAAGAGCCACCAAGCCATCCTACTATTTTACAATGTTTTCTCGCGACTAGTAGCTCCCGGCATCGCTGACAACGGCTGGAAAGTTATACGATGTCGGCGATAAACCATCAACCGGTCCAGCGCGGTTCACGAACAATTTCTATACTTTGTTTCACCTTAATTTCAAACGCAGCCGACGCTACGAGCCACCGGGACCAACCAAACAGCGTCAAAGCGAGAAATGGCATTCGTCCATCTTCCTGTCCATGTTCATCGACTAAACCAATCGAGTGCGGCGAATGTCCCGTGATATGACTTGCGTTTTTGGTTTGTGTTTTCCTGGGTGTTTGTATTCGAGCCTTCGATTGTGCTCTGACCTAAGCTGAAACAAACTGCACGATGAGTAGAGACACTGGTGGGATACAAATTTGTACAATTTTCCTTTCCCATTATCTCTCTAAATATTAGGGCCGACCAATAATAAAACTTTTTTTTTTTTTTTTTGCTTTGCTTTGCTTACGCCTATTTAGGCGCCGGTGTGACGCAATTAGCAAAAAGGGCAATTTGGCACAAGATGTAGCAGACTTTCGTTCACGGCGCTATTTGGCACAAATGGCACAGCGTTTCCATCACTGCAATCAAATCAAATCAAATCAAATCAAATCAGTTTATTTTCTGCCACAAAAATACATTCGTGACAAGGGCGCTGGAAAAAAAGCTGCACGTAGCAGCTTGACGAGTCCCAGCGCCCTAATACAAAGCAGCAGCGGAACTGACATGAATACAAAAAAGAACACAGTATATAACAATCACAAAAAAAAACAGCAAAAAAACATCTAAGTACACATATTAAGAGCTATCTGAAACGTAAATAGTGATTTTATATTACAAAATGTCTTGTATTGTACGACTGTTTACAGAGTATATATCAATTCCATGAGAAAAAAGAAGGTTTAACAATAGCGGTAATTGGTAGCGGTATCTCTGAGTACCGAAATTTGTTCTAGATACAGGAAGACGCCAGGGGGGCCTATGACGCGATGCGTAAATGGACTCGTTTTTTTCTAGTTTAGCAAGGTCTAAGATTATGTTAATATTTTTTCTTACACATTGTTGGTAATTTAAAATCAATCTGGAGGAATACATATTATATATATCAATGATTTTATGTTTTTCAAAAAGAGGAAGAGAGTGATAATCACGAGGTACATTTTCAATTATTCTAACAGCCTTTTTCTGTAAAAGACGCAATTTGTCTAAATTGCTCTTAGTAGTTGTTCCCCACACTAAATGGGAATAGCAGATTATAGAATGAAAAAGGGAATTGTAAATTAACCTTTTGATGTTTACGGGAAGTATATGCCTGTATTTATTCATAATCCCAACAACTTTAGAAAGTTTTTTATGAATGTATGTTACGTGATTATTCCATGACATATGACTAGAAAATATAACACCAAGAGTCTTAACGGTATCAACACATTCTAATTTGCATGACCCAAAATACAAATCACGTGATATTTGAACATACGATCCCGGGCATTGAAATAGGACAACCTTAGTTTTAGTGGTATTAAGAATAAGAGAGTTAATATTTATCCAATTTTTTTAATTTACCCAGAAAAACGTTTGCTATGGAGGTAAGTAGGTCTTCTTTGAAACTGTTCCGTCATGCCAGCCTGGTGGATGATACACAGAACAAAGGACAACAGATCACCTTGGGGCAGTGGCGTCTGGCCGGGGTGTGTGTATGTGTATGTGTCGGGGTGTTGGGGAGGGGGAAGGGGGATATGGGGATATGGGGCTGAAGCTTTCCACCCCCTCACCTGAAAGAAAGTCGTGGCGAC